TCGGGCTTCTTCCCAGACCTACCATCGCCAATGATAACACTGACAATTTTCCCTGGATGCTTCCTGAGCAACTTGCAAATTGGAGATTACAAGCTAAAATTCTTTGATTAGCTAGGCAGGTAATCTCCGCGAGTGACAAAAGTTAGATACACATGTTTACACATGGTAATGAATGACCTATGGCCATTGGTCTCCTCATAGTAAGCAGGACAGGGACTGTGTTGATCGGGAGATCTTTGCTGCTGTTGTTGGGTACCAATAAGTCAGTTCTGACTCACAGAGATTTCATGTGACTGAGTGAAATTGCCTCTTAGCGATTATGATGATGACAACGGGTTGCCTGGTCTTTCTCCTGATCAGTTGGTGTTTAAATCAGCAACTTTTTTTATTTATGTTTTTAGTTTTTAGCAATTGAGTGTTTAATGATGGCATCCCAGCAGCACCTGCAGGCCTATCTAAACCGATCTTTAGCTCCGTCTCAGAGGAGTGGACTTCACTTCCGATCTAGACAATGATGGATATTGTCTAGCAAGAACTTTGCACAGTTCAGGAAGCACCAGAAATACAGACAACTAGTTCAATTGTTTTTAAAGCAAAAGAATTACAAAACCCCAAAGAGAGCACACTCTTGTGATAATTCTAGCATAATGGGACCCCAGTGTGAAGGCTCATGTAAACGGGGACAATTTTCGGCAAGTTGTAAACTCCTCTCAATTCTTATTTCACTATTTTAGTTTTGCAAGTTAGGAAATATTCTTTATCAAGTTTCATGTTCAAAAATTACTATTAATTCACTTGTTTAATCCTCATTCCACGTCCAGTTTGTTCTCAAAGGTCCTACGACAGACCCAGAAGACCTACAGGTGATTAACATATGACTCATAAGCTCTAATGATTTACAGTCTCAGAATGGTGACTTTATACTTATGAACAGATGATTGTGTCAGTATTGTTGAAAGAATATTTCAAGTCCACTTTTCTCAGGTTTCCGTAAGACGTTTATATTCTAGTTGGGTAGTTCACACATCTAGGTGGGGCAACAGAACAATGTGTTAATCATTTGAGGCAAATCTTATGACAAAAGTTTCTGAGGACTTGGTTCATCAAAACCGCAATCCAAAAGAAGTGAATTCTGAACAGATGTCTAGTACTGTCGGCGATTTAAAATGGTAAAACTTCATCTCATGCAAGAAGGGGGGACCATTACACAAGAGCTAGCACACCAAATTCCACTTCTCAAATCAAAGTGATTGAATCATATGCTGCAGATTTTCTTTCTGCGACTTGCAATAGTCTCCTTTCGCCAGTTGGTTTGAGGAAATTTGACTTCTTTATCTTCATTAGAGAAGTGTCTGTCTTCTCTGGAGAGTCCTTGACATTTATGAGAAAGCCCCACACTGGCAGCAAACGCTTCACAAAGCTTTATATTAGTTTGGTGGCAGCTGTGATCAGGAGTATAATAAGAATCAAGTTAACCTTTCATTCAAACACCACTTGTTGAAGATCCAAGGGTATGAGTGAGCAAAGGTCTGGCTACTCTTATACAACCCCTAGGGCTGGAGTTTCCAAAGCATCCGAGTATAAGGCTTTACCTCATTTTACCTCCTCTGTTAGGTACAGGTCAAGACATTGATCCTTCTCTGGTGAATAACGTTGTGATGGTAAAATCGGGAACTTTTCAGTTATTTTCTTTTGAGGCAAAATAGTAATGCATCCTTCAGCACACTTACTATGAAGTCAACAATGTGGATGACTCTCTTCACCCGTAACTAACCGCCTGATTTCCAGGAAGCAAGTCATTCACCTACATAGAGTTTAATACTTTAGTTTCACTTTTTGCATCTTGACCTGAACAGGATATTTTTGCTGAGCGTGATTGTCCTACCCACGTACCCTCTCTGTACATTATGATTTTGTCCTTTTATGTCAATTATTTCTCTTCAGTCTTTCCCAGTTTATCTTTCTGCTTCCACAAAACACCATCATTTTCACATACTGCTTTCCCCCTTCAACCTGCGGAGCCTGAGGGTTGACCACTACCTGTCAGGAAAACCCACATCTGTTCTAGAAGATACTTTCATTTAAACTTTTTAATCTATATCTCTTTATCTCTCACCGATCTATCATCTTTCTTTGTCTCCTTCTTCTTTTCATATGGCTTGGTCAAACAGTTCCAAAAAGTCCTCCACTCTAATTAACCTTTGACACATTTTCCACAGTGGGTTTTAAAAGTAAAAATATGACCACACAAGCCCAAATCTTGCAAAAAGTACTTTCATCATATCTAATTGCCTAAATAATAAAGTTCAGACCCCTCATTTGTCATGTGGGAGCTTCATACTTATGGAAAAACATAACTATAAAACAATGGAATTCTTCCAACACCTTTTGAAGCCCCCTTCTATAAACTCCTTTGTATCACATCTCCTAAATCACCGTCTGCATTTACATCGGCCATCCCCGAACTGCTTCTGGTTTCTGAAGGGAATGATCTATGCTTTTGAGGTTGGTTCTGGCTGCTATTGCATAGGCTCTATCTCATGGAGACCTTGGTTATAACAGAATGAAACATTGTCTGGTCCTGTATTATATTCATGAGGGTCAAGATGTTTGACTCTGTTGTATTTGGAGTGACTTCCAGCCTTGGAGACTTTTCTTCCTGACATTATCTTAGAGTTTGTGATGTGTAGGGTTTTCACTGGCTAATTTTTAAAAGAAGTTCACAAGGCCTTTTTCCTTGTCTGCCTTACTCTTGCTTTTGACTTTAGTAGGTGGCTTTTCCCTTTGCTAAAGGTCACCCACCACTTCCGCTGTCATCCTCTCTCCTCCTCGGCTCGTTTTTCCCGTGAGACGTTCGTACTTTACACTTGTTTCAAGAGCACAGTCTCTGAAGCCCTTCACTTCCAGCCTCCCATCCCGGTGCCCTGCTTGCTAATGCTGGACCTCAAGTAAGTCCTGCAGCCGGACGGTTTCCTCATCTCGGAAGTACGGGAACATTAGAACCTCCCTCCCACCTGAATTATTATGAAAACCAAATGAACAAACATAGCCACAGAATTAACCAAAGGATTGTGAACTGAAGAAAGTATTCCAAAGCCAAATATACATCATAGAGATTACCTCTTCATTTGTATCAGTCATTTCTGTTCTCTTTGGTTAATCACAATAATGAATGCATAATTTTTGAAGTCTAAGACTCAAATCAATTATATTTAAATTAATGGGAGAAAGGGATATAAAACTGGGCATCACATAATGATGCAATAGCTTTTCTAATTTCAGTGGAACATCTTATTGATTACTATCCCCATGTTCAGATTTCAGGATCATTCTCTTATTATATGTGCGGAGACTAGAAGAGTGGAAATTTGATGTTATACAAACTCCTGTGAACCATACAAAAACTACACCGCTTAGCTTAGCTATACTAAATACTTCGTGGTCTCCCTGACTGATTACTTGCGTTTGAAGTTTGGAGTAGTACACAAGGCCCAATCCTAAGCCAGGTTTAGGATCTCTGGAGACATTGATGAGCAGAGAAAATCGATGCATTCGACTAGCGTCTGGACTGCTGTTAAGTCTCCAGTGGGATCTGCTACCAGAATGTACTTCTTTGTAAAGTGACAGATGCGGCAGCTAGAAGGAAATTGAGCCGGTGATACCGTGAGGATTTCGTGATTAGGACCAGAGTGTAATGACGGAGACTTGGTGCAACTGTAGCTTTAAATAAAAGCAGCTTCCAATCGAGAAAGTCTGCTGGAACAGAGGAGGCCTGGGGACATGTCCGGTGGGGTTCTTCTTGGCTTCCCCGGAAGCCAGTGTGGGCATCCTTCCAGGCCAGAGCTAAATTGCTTGGCTCCTGTAAATCACATCAGGAGCTAGTCAATGTCCCATTAAGTTATTGTACACGCCAGGGCCCTGTGGAATGTGACAGGGGGCCAATTGTTGCCAAAGCCCTGATTTCCCAGAGCAAGTGCACAAAGAGGAATGGTTCCTGGCAAACTACCGTGAGTCCATTATGGAACAATGGAGTGGAGAGCATGATTATCAAACAAGGGAGGGCAGATTTCCTCACAAGGAATTATTTCTCCTCTTCTTTGTGAGCCTTTTGTTCTTTCTTTAATGGATGAATTTCTTTTATCGTAATATGTATGGTGCTCAGAAGACCAACCAATATAAAAATGACCACATAAGCAAAGGAAATCCTCTCCGCTAAAGTAAGGACCTCTTGTCGCATAGTGAGTAACACTTTGGGCTGTAATTGCAAGGTCAGCTGTCAAACTCTCCAGCTTCGCTCCTCACAGGGGGCAGTTCTCTGTCCTACGGGGTGACTATGAGTAACCATAGAATAGAGGCAGCGGCAGCAATTGTCAGTGAGTCTGAGTTTCTTTTCTTTTTTTGATTTGGGATCTGTTAAGGTACCACTATGTTTATTAAAACTACAGTATAATAATATCATCTGCTAATATTGTATTATGTATAAAGCCGCTATGTATTGAGATGGTCAATATTGACAATGATGCACATCTTTTAAGTACTTCCCAGTAAGTATTTACTTTCTATAGGTGCACCTTAATTTACTGTGGATCTGGACATGATCTGTCTCTTTTTCTATGCATGTTCAAATGAGATGTTTATGACTGAGGGTTGAAACAAAAATATAACTTCATTTCCTCATGCCAGAATTTTGACAATTCATTCATTCAATAACCTTTAGTAAATATGCTATATACTAACCCTGTTAAATTTGTCATGGGACACAAAAATAAATACAATGTGATCTTATGTTCAAAGTGCTCACCATCTGTCAAAATCTTTTTCCATGTCAAGAATATGTCCCCTTAAAAATGGTAATTGAATTTTAACATTTGTGTTTGGTAGCTTCTTCTATGAACATCAGTAATATGCTTATGATAGAATCTAACTACATATTGAAATGAAATTTAAATATTTATTTCTCTTTACTCCTGATCTCATCTCGGCCATCTTCTTCTCCGAAGCCGAGTCATCCCATGGTGGCAATCCCCGAACATGAAACTCTCGATTCCAAAGAGGTAAATGCAAGGGATGCACGGGTTCCTTGATCGTTCATGTTAAGAGAAAATGCTGCCATCGAGTCGGTTCCAACTCACGGGGACACTGTGAGACAGGTTAGAGCTGTCCACGTGAAGTTCGGAGACTATAACTCTTTCTGACAGTAGAAAGCCGTCTCCTTCTCCAGAAGAGCACCTGGTGATTTCAGATGTCTGAACGTACGATTAGCAGCCTAATGTAGAGCCCCGATGCCACCAGGCCTACTCATGTGAGGGCAGGGAAGTGATACACTCTTATTTTTTCAACAGTGTTTATCAAACCATCCTTTTTTTCCTTTGAAATAACTGACCTAACTGACCTACTCTCTGTTACTCAGAGGTATATGATGAGTAGAAATGTAAATGTCTACTGTTTTCCAGTGTGAAAATTGGTATCAGGGTTCCCCATTGAGGTAGCATCTTGTCGACAGGCCAACTCCTTCTACCCTATGTGTCCATTTTTGTGATTTTTCTCCTTGGGGGGGTCATATGTAAAACGACTTCTCTCTCTATGGAGTCAATGGGTGCCCTAGAGCATAAATGGTGTGATTTCTGTGGTCAGAAGTCACAAGGTCTCTCATGATGCTGCATGACCGCTTAGCTCCATGATCAATACCTCTTTACCCTCAGACTGGCATATGTCATAGTGGTACAGGCAAGACGGTTCAAACATTCCTCCAAATTTGGCTCAAAACCAAACAAAATAAAACACAAACGTTTATTTACTTTCCTATTGAGCACCAAGAAGCAAAAATTAATACTCTCTTCTTCTTTTTATGACTGTGCCTTCAAAGAGAGGAGCCCTGTTTATATAACAGATGTAATCCCCTAGCTGTTCGGCAGGAGAAAGAGGAGGCTGTCTGCTCCCCTAAAGATTTGTAGCCTCAGAACCCCTGGGGACCAGTGACAATCTGTTCCATAACATCACTATGAGTTGGCGTTGACCTGATGGCAATGGGATGGAGGGATTGTTTGTTTTTCTTGAATCCCAAAGAGACAGAAAAATATGCTGCAAGAAATATTCTCTCTATGGTCTATTTAATTTTTTGTTTATCGAGAAGAAGAATAACTGTGTGATATTTATCCCTCTGTGATCTGTTATAGAATGTGGAAAAGAGAAGAAACTTATAAACACTGTATCTTGAAGTAGGTTGGGGATGAGCTCACTCAAATGCCCATAAATATAATGTTGTTAAAACAAAAGCAAAATAGCCTCTAAGATTAGAAAGCGGAAGCAAGACACACATGATACAAAAGAAAAATAGAAGTGATCAAAACAGAAAGGCTCAAGTTGAATTTTTTTAATAGAAGATTAAAATTTTTAACTGAAAAAAATTTTTTTAAATTTAAATGAAAAAATTTTATCATTCATTGAAATAACTGAATTACTCCTATTTCTGAAAATTATGAGACATCTATATTATGATACTAATGTGGCTCTGTACCAAAAGATTAGTCCTTAAAACATAAAAGTACATTATAGATAGGTGGGGATTTATTCTCGTGACCTTATTTAAGAGACTCCTAATAGTACTGGTTTAATGAGTGAGTATGAACATTTGAGAGACTAACTGAGACATGTAGCTCAGTTGATTTAATGGAAAATGATAACAATTGTAGCAATTCACTGTTCCAGAAGCACAGATATTCTGTCCCCTTGTCCTCTTCCCACGAAGGACAATTATTATAGTTAGCAATTTGCGAACAGATGTATTAGAAACCTGTTTATACACTTTAGTGTCTTATCTTACCTAATCTTCACAAAACATTTTAAAAGGGGTTAGAATTCCCATTTTACAGTTAAGGAAGCGGAGGCTGAATACAATCCTTCAGTGTTCCCATCCCACGGCTGTGCAGGCTCTATCAGAACGGAGTCGCGTTTGGCTGCTTTGTAGCCTCAGCTTTCAGTTCTCAGCGCTGTATTAGAGCTGGTCTTTCTCCTTTTGAAAACATCTCTGACATTATTTGCCAATTTGAAATGATATTTTTGTATTGGTTTGTATGTTTACATTTTTTTTTTTACTTTGTCTCTTTATTTTTGGCAATTTTGCTTTTGTATTGTGTCAGGTGTTTTTCTACTGGTATGAGCATACATTTCTTAATTCATTGCAAACTCCCTTTATGTATTAAAAAAATGACTCTGTCAAATATGTAGCCCTTTCAATGTGTTGGTAGAAAATTCTGCAATAGTGAATGCTGATGCAGCACACTGGCTCATAAAGAGGAGACTACTTGAAAAAATCCCATGCATTTCACATAAATGCAAAAAAAAAAATCAGATCTCTCTTTTTCAAATGCAAAAAGTTTTGCTCAAATTTAGATAGACCATTTATTTAATACGAGTGTATCTGAACCATAGGAGAAATTTAAGTGGTTATTCAAATAACAAAAGCACTCCATTCAGATAATGCATGCTAAATTGAAAACCTCTGAAGCTTCCCTGTTGTTTGGTCTTAGGTGCCTTTAAACCACTTCTGGCAATCGCAACCCTGTGCACAACAGAAACAAACCTGCTCTGACCCTGGCTCACCCTCACCGTTGCAGTACCCTGCTTCCCTGAAAATAAGACAGTGTCTTACATTAGTGTTTGCTCCCAACGATGCGCTAGGTCTTATTGTCAGGGGATGCCTTATTTTTCTATGAAGAAGAATACGGTACACATTTATTGTTTTATTAAACGAGACCTCGCACTTCCTGTCTGTTCCGGCTGCGCTGCGGTCAACAGTGGGCTGTGCGGCGGTGCCCGCCAGTCCAGTGTCTAGAGTTATGGTAGCTTTGGGGG